CCGCATGGGCCAAATGCCACACTTAGCCCTTTGGTAGGTTTCCTTTGTCGGCTTCCACTGTAAACCCACTCATGCCAAACATTTTATGAGTGTATGTGTTTATTTTACTGAAGATTTCAGATTATGGGGAGGGCTCACAGCCCACAGTCACCAACCACCACCCCATTTTGCTGGCTCCATTCTCTTCTTTGAAAGGAGAGAGCTCTCTCTCTCTCTTCCCTCTCCAACTTTCCCCTTTTTCTCTCCTAGCCTCGTGCTTTGCAATTTGTCCTGGTCTTTCATAGCCTGACTATGTCCCTGGAGGGTCGTACCCTCCTACACTAGCAGCTTTATCACATTTCTTTTAAAAACATCCAGGACTCTTCCTTACGGGAGTTCTGCTGGGAGTGATCTTTCCCACCTCCCCACCTACAGATGGCAGGTCAGTAAGGTGCATGGAGGATGGAGCTCTAGGGGCCAGGCTTCAAGGCGGAGGGACCAGCCCCCCCGTCTCTGCACCTCAGATTCTTCTTTAAAATGGGGGACGGCACTAGATGACTTCCCCTCTTCCAGCTCAAAATGGCTGTGATTCTCATTGTGGCTGGAAGGGATGAAGGGAGCAGGGACTGCAGACGTGGAAAGGCTGGGAGTGGGGAGGAGTGGAAAGAGGAGGTGTGGAGAGGCTGTAGTCTGTGGGCTTAGTGGCTGATTTCCATGCTGAATCACTAGCAGCAGCATTCCAGCACTACCTGCTGGTCCTTGTGGGAGGCTGGGGAGCTCCAGTAACTGATTTCTCAGCAGCAGTTAGGGATTCCCTCAAAACACACAACCTGAGCCACTGCTCCAAATTTCCATGTTGTAGGGAACAGCTCTGGCTGCCAGTACCCACCGGTGTTCAGGGTAAATATAAAAACACCTAATCTCCCCCACATATCAATCAGAAAATAAACACCAGTGGTAAATAAGTCAGACAAAGATCCAGGCAGAGATACTGGAAGCTTTTAGTGTTTTGGAAGGTCTCAGAAGAGCAAAAAAAAAAGATATTTGATGATTCTAAGAGTAAAACTATAAGTTTTTTTTTCAATCTCTCTATTGGCTTTACTTTTCAGAAACATTAGGGAAAG